GCATCGCATTAAATCGAGTTTGAAAAATTTGCTTGTAATGTGGACATTAAAGAGACAGCATACTGCTTTTCCAATCAAGTGACATATCTGATTCCCTTTTTTGTCTCTGTGATTGAATTTCTCCTTGCTATTAAGGAATATTCTGAACAAAAGTGACACTTGAAGTGTTTATCAGCTTAGAGTTAGATGAAACGAAGTAGCAATACACGCATTTTTTACTGTTGGCATCTAATAACGAGAATTTTATCAGTGGATGTATGTCATATCATATTCACAGCACTTTATCACTTTATCACTCAGCAAACGTTTTCAATCATCCAAGCAATATCTGCTTTTATCATTGAATGATTTTAGGATATACTGAGTATCTGTTGAACTCCAGAATTATCAGTTGATAATTCATCAAATTCATGAATGAACAAGAATAGAAGCAGCAGCTATCTAACATACAGATTATTGGCAACCAGAAGAATAATTAAGAGGACAGGCTAGATAACCCATCTCAAGCAGCACACTAATTGCACAAATTGTTACATATGATGTTATCATTACAACGCCAAAAATTTTATCCATTTTCCATCCATTTATCAACACAGAAATTATCATCACAATTAGCATAATGAAAAGAAGACTGATAGAACAAATTAGACCTTTCGAAGAAACTGCGATACTCGCAGCGGAAGAAACTGAGAAGGGATTTGATAACCAGCGAAAAGCGAAATGTAGTAGCCAAGGAATAGGCATTCTGCAATGCTGTTACTCATTATACCAGGTAATGATAAATCACTTATCAATGATAGTTATAAATAATTAATTATTTACACTTACTACAATTATACAGTAAGTCAACAGCTTATTCATTATTATACAATAATTACAATAGCAGCCACTATTTATTATACTGCCATATAGTGATAACTTTTTATTCACTTTTTAGGTAATTTCTTAATTATTTTAATTGGGAAAAGAATTCAGCTACCCGACACAAATATCGAATAGATTACTTCCGATAGAACTTGACACCGCCATATCCGCAAAACCTTTTCGTGCCACAATCACACTAAAAATACTACTGCCGCCATGTTTTTGAATTTCTTGCAAAACTTAATTAAAGAAAAATTCTTCGATATTCCAATCAAATCAGTTTATTACTTGAGTGATAAATTTGAAAGTTAATCAATAAAGAACCTTGTAATGAGATCAGGTATGCTTGTGCCGGCAGCTAGTGCTGTTAATCCCATTATCTTCACATGAAAATTGGTTTTTTGAGCTTTTACTCAAAATTTTTAATCTAATTAAAGATTAGTTTTATTTAACTAAAACTACTGCCCATTATTTATGGTCAGTCACATCATAATTTTAATATAAATAATCAATTACACGTCAATACTATAAAGTGATAACTATATTAAACATACTATTTCTTAGAATAAATTATCAGATATTATTATTTGCATAATATTCTTTCAGATAAAAAGTAAACAAGTTTTAAATTTCTTTTTTTGCTACTTTTGACATCAAATTTTGGTCGGTTATTGAAAAAATAAAAAGGAAAGTTTGCTGAATATTAGAGAAAGGTGCTAAATTATTCAGAGAAAACAAAACTGTAAATTAATGTTATATTTTGTTTAGACTAATAATGTATGCTAAGCGCAATTTATTTACAAATCTTACTGAATAAATTTCATATGTTGCTTAGGTAATTTTATATTATTATAATACTTGTAGGGCACAGTAATATTTTTGAGCCCTACAAGTATTAAATTTTGCATAATAATTAAATATTTAGACAGATAAGTGAAGATTTACATTTAGCATTTAAATGTTTGCAGTTTATTCGTTGAATATTTAATTATTATGTACAATTTCTATCAAACTTTCAGAAATAAATGCTAGCATTTATTAAATCTTTTTTCTGCTTTAAATATATTCTATAAAAAGTTAATAAATGTTGTTGATAAAAGTCAAATTCAGAATAACTTTTCACTTAAAGCAAATGCAATTTTATTTTGTGTTTAAATGCAGTTATTCCACTTGCTTTATTTAGTTATTTTTAGATTTTACAATCATACTAATTTTAATATTATGAACAATTTGGCGCTTTTAGTGTACTGACTTTCACAGAAATTAATACACTTAAGTTGAACGTTATAATTAATAATTATCATTAAAGAATTTTATAATCAAATTCTTTATGTGATCGCATTAATACAAAAATTGATTGTTCAACTCAATAGTTTAGTCCGTTATAATAATAACAATAATAATATTAATAATAATAATACTAATAATAGTAATAATAATAATAATAATCTAGTACACATTGTAGTTGTAGACAAAATTACTCAGTGAAATGTACCTCTTCCGCTATAGCCAACGTCTCACCGATTACACTTGCCCACCAAACCATAAAATATGAAAAAAAGGCAATCCACAACATTGATCCCACGAAAGTTACATAAAAATACTTTTTGCCTGACTAAAACAGGCCAAATTTATTCCTGATACTAGTAGCTAAAATAATTGATAGAGAATAATATTTAAACTTTTTTTGTTTTAAAGACGTTAAATAATTTTTAACGTAAGAGTAATTATAAAAGAAATGTTAAACTTATATACTGAAAAAAGATTTTAATAATTTTATACTTGAACTGAATTAACTTTGCAAGCATTTAAATACTTTGATTTTTTTAAAATTATTCAAGATAACAAGAACAATTTTTACTAATTTTTTTGAATCTGGTAAAGTGAAATAAAGTGGTAGCATAATAGGTGCCAAGATAAGATATGATAAACGTGATCTGCAGTTCGATGGCCAAGAAATATCAATAGGTTCTTCTGATTCTTCTTTTTTTGTTTGCACAGACTGAAAATGAAAAAATTAATAGTAATGAACCTGAAATAGTTGAAAAAACTTAAAAATGTTGTAATCTCCAATTCAAAATTCTTAGAAAAGCTTGAAGATGAAATTTTTTAATAATTCTGAAAGTATAG